CAGAATCACAGAATCACAGAATCTTAGTGGTTGGAAGGGACGTCTGAGATCATCAAATCTAACCACAAAAAAAAAAAAAAACAAAAACAAAAACCCCCAAAAAACCCCCCCAAACATACAAACCACCACACCCACAACAAACACCACACAACACCTGAGGACTTTTGGAAGCCCTCGAGCGGTTGAGGAGAAGGGGGGGACAGAAAAGCAACACAAAAAGATACGGCCTTAAGCTTGTTGGTGGCACCAAGCTGGGGCAGTTGCACGGTGTGGTCAGGACAGGGATGATCCCAACATGGAAATGTCGTCTGTTTTCAGCAGGTAAATGAGGGAAAACTAAACATGAAGTGTTCTTAGAGACTCACAGAACGGTCACCACACAACACCTGAGGACTTTTGGAAGCCCTCGAGCGGTTGAGGAGAAGGGGGGGACAGAAAAGCAACACAAAAAGATACGGCCTTAAGCTTGTTGGTGGCACCAAGCTGGGGCAGTTGCACGGTGTGGTCAGGACAGGGATGATCCCGACATGGAAATGTCTGTTTTCAGCAGGTAAATGAGGGAAAACTAAACATGAAGTGTTCTTAGAGAATCACAGAATGGTTTGGGTTGGAAGGGACCTTAAAGCCCACCCAGTGCCACCTCCTGCCCTGGGACACCTCCCACCAGACCAAGCCCTGTCCAACCTGGCCTTGAACCCCTCCAGGGATGGGGCAGATACAGCTTCTCTGGGCCTCGCTGGGGGGGCCCTGGGGGTCCTGGTAGACAAGGAGCTGAATGGAGCTGCGGTGCCGCGGCAGCAGCGAAGGCAAGGACTTGCTGGGGGGGCCCTGGGAGTCCCAGTAGACAAGGAGTTGAATGGACCCAGCAGTGCCGCGGCAGCAGCGAAGGCAAGGACTTGGGCTGCATCTGCAGTGACATTTCTAGCTGAGGTAGATCATCCCACCCAGTGCTTGTCAGGCTGCACTTGGGGGTGCTGTGTCCATTTTTAGCCCCCCAACTCCAGAAGGACACAGCACAGTGGAGAGGGCCAATGGAGGCTGGAGAACCTGCCTGAAGAGGGAAGCTGGAAGGAGTTGGGGCTTTTCTCCCTGGAGAGGGGAAGGCTCAAAAACATCATCAGTTTTTGAGTCCTTAAAGGGTGGCTGCAGAGAGGATGGAGTTTGTGTCATCACCAGCAGATGACAAGGGGCAACAGGTACATGTTGCAGTGAGAAAAGTGACATTTCAATATAAGAAAGATGCTTTTTATGGTGAGAACATTCACTGGAACAACCTCTCCAGGGATGTAGCAGAGTCCTCACAGCTGGAGGTGTTCGAAATCCCACTGGGCAGGATGTGAGAGAATCTCATCCAGGTTCCCTTTCCCACAAAAGCTGGGACCAAGTGGTTTCTTCAGGTCCCTCCCAGCCCGGGCTGTTCTGTGGTTCTGCAGGACCGGGAGCTGCAGCGGTGCTGGGCACTCTCAGAGATGTGATGAAGAGGATGGAGGTGGGCGTTGGGGTAGAAAATAAGGCTGGGCAGGTACTTTCCAGGCTTTTTGAGGGATGAGGACCACCTGCTCTCCCCTCTCCTGGGGAGGGAAGGATGGGAAGAAATCAGGTGGATCCATGGCACAAAGAGAACCTTGGTTTCTCCGTCCCTTCCCAGCCCGAAGCGATGGGCAGAGCTTTGGGAGAGCGCTGTGTTTCGGAGCAGGATCTGGGGTGGCGCAGACGCATCGCGGGGTGCTGTGGGGGCTGCTGTGCCCCCGGCACGTGTCTCCCAGGCTGAGCTGGGTCCGGAAAGCTCCGTGTCGGGTCTGAAAGCTCCTCGTGCTGTTCGCAGGCTGTCAGCCGACGAGCGGCTTAACGAGCCCATCACTTGTGCCAGGCAGGCACCGAGCGGGAGACGACCGCTCTCCTGTCTAATCACGCGCCGGGCCGGGCACTGGGACCGCAGGGTGCTATTCCTGGCTCTCCAGCGTGCTCCGCGAGCCGCTGAAGGCTGCTTCTGTCACCGTGCCCACCTGGCAGGCACGTCTCGTGTCTCTATCTGCATAAAATAACTCCAGAATCCTTAAATGAGGGAAGTCGCGAAGCACCGAGTGCTGCTAATGGGGAGAAGGGCTGAGGATCTCTAGATGAGCGTGTCCCGCTCTGATGGTGATGCTTCAAAGAGGGTGTTGAAAGATGGGGGGGATGGAAATGAGATGAATTACAAGGTTTGGAAGAAGAAACACCTTCTGGTGAGAGACGAGGGAATGGGACGGCTCAGCTTGTTAAAGGGAAGGTTCAGGGGTGACTCGAGCACCTAAGCAGGCGATGGTTTGGGGACTGGCTCTGTCTCTGTCTGCTAAATTAGAGAGGCTGAAACGAGGGAAAGAAATTGCACTAACGGCTAGTGCAGCCAGCATGGAGGGTAATTAGATTTGCTTTGTCTCCTCAAAGCCTGCGAGCGACCCCTGTGCAAAGGTTGCTGCGGGAAGCTCTCCTCTCCGGCAAGGAGCGGACGTTATGCCGTTAATTAACCGTCGTTTCCACCGTCCACCCTTTTCTCTTCCCAGTGTTTGCCTACGGCGCAACTGGAGCAGGAAAAACCCACACCATGCTGGGCTCAGAGGAAAACCCCGGCATCATGTACCACACCATGGTGGAGCTCTACAAGAGGATCGAGGCCAGGAAGGAGGAGAAGAGCTGCGAGGTCCTAGTCTCCTACCAGGAGGTACAGTGTCACCGAGCCATGTCCCCTCCTGCCACCAGGTCATTGTGGCTAAGATTTGGGGTTGATCCGGACCCTGTAGTACCACGCTCGGGGTACCCAGCTGTGCCCAGTGTCCCCAGGGCATGTCCCTCCTGCCTCTGGGTCACTGTTGCTAAGATTTGGGGTTGATCTGGACCCCGTAGTGTCACACTTGGGGTACCCAGCTGTGTCTGGTGTCCCCCACAGCAGCCCTAGAGCTCGGCTGGAAACAGGCTCACCCACCCAGTTTGGTGAACTGGTGCTGCTGGTTTCTCCCATCTGGAGTCAGGGAATTTATTTTTCCTTGCCATGGTCCATGTAGGGATGAGGCTTCGGAGGAGCCCTGGCTGAAAGGGCTTCAGAGGAGCAGTGGTGCCAGTAAAGCCCTCCCGAGCTGTCCTCTGCATTTAGAGCACCCTCAGCTGCTCTTGAGGGTCCTGGAGGTGGTTTTTGGGGGGACACCAGGTTGTGTGTAACCCTGGGGTGCAAAGCTCCTTTCTCTGCTCACTCCTGGGACCCAAACCTCAGCCTTACATCGAATTCTCTGCTCCAGGTGTACAATGAACAGATTCACGACCTGCTGGAGCCCAAGGGCCCTCTGGCCATCCGGGAGGATCCTGAGAAAGGAGTCGTGGTTCAGGGTCTCTCCTTCCACCAGGTGGGTATAAAAATGGGCACAGGGTCTGGGCAACACTGCCTACACCAGTTATGGAAGCGAGTGTCCTGGGGACACAGGGGGGTCTGAAGATACAGAGGTGCTGTTTGCACAGCTCTTGGCTGGCAGCAAACATGACCCCGAGCTGGAACAACCCCCCCAGAGCTGGGGGATGCCCCAGCCCTTGGCTGCTCGGTGTCTCCAGCATTCGGGCTGTGCTGATACCTCTCCTCTGCCCCCTCTCTCCCAGCCCGCCTCGGCGGAGCAGCTCCTGCAGATGTTGGCCAACGGCAACAAGAACCGGACGCAGCATCCTACTGATGCCAACAAAACCTCCTCCCGCTCACATGCCATCTTCCAGGTGAGGGCTAGTGGTTGCCGTATCGCTTGGGATCTGTGCCCAAAAGGGGGTTAGGGAGCAAGCCCCTGCCAGGACCGGCATCGTGGGGTTCCTGCAGCTGCTCCTGGTGTGCCGTGGGGAAGATTGGAACAGTCGTGGCTCTGAAAAAAGAGGTATGGGGCTGGGCAGGTCACGAGCCAGCGCTGCAGCAGGACAGTGGGTACTGGTCATGCTGGTGGCCATGTCTCCCAGAGAGCCCTGTTCTCCCAGTTTGGTGCTGTGTCTCTTAAGGGCTGAAATTTCACTTTGTGCTTTTGACTCTTTTCATCTTAGTGTGCAGTAGCCGGACCTAAAACCTGACCCAGAGCTAAGGGGGGCCAGTTATCGCTGGCTCCTGCGTGTTCTTTCCCCCAGGTACCACGGGCAGGATGTCACTGGCGCCTCCTCCCCGGCACTGAGCCGGGATTTGTGCTCCCCTGGGGGAATTTGTAAATTTGCCCTCGGGTTTCTTGGTGTTCTCCTGCACAAACCTGCCCATTGATTTCAATTCCAGCCAGGCCTTTCCCTGAATTAGCAGGGCCGTCACGGCCGCATGGGGAGACGGAGGGCTCCGACTGTAATTTCAGTCTGAACCTGGTGCTTTGCCTGTTGCTGCTCGCAGGGGGGAAGTCCAGGTGTCTGGATGCTTTCCCAGCCGACTTCCCAGCTGGGCCCGTCGGTGGGTGCTGGATCCCTGCCTGCTGTGAATCCATTAGCTGTGCTGGAAACGTGCCCTTCCCGCTGCCGGCTCTGCCTCCCGGCAGGCGAGCTGCAGTCTGGGGAGGATGCAGGGACCAGTTACCAGCCTCTGTGGCACCTCCAGTCCATGCAGGAGTTGCTCCTGGGAGGCTGGGGGTGTCATAGGGTGGTGGGGAAGTGTTTGCTTCTCCTGGGAGATCTTTAGGGATGCAGAAGGGGAAGTTAGGAAGTGATGCTGCCGAGTGAGTCATGGGGTCTGTGTCTCTCCAGCCGGGAACTGGGCTTGGCACAGGGAGCCCTGGCTGGGTGCCTCCCTGGGGGCACTGGGAGATCATGTCTGGGGGCTTGCAGCCCCCGTTGCCATCTGAATTTGCTGGTAAAATCCACAGTCAGAGTCAGGGCTGGGGCTGCCATGTACATGAGCATTTCCAGGGGCTCTGGGTCGTCGGGATGTGGCCCTTCAGGGACCCCACCAGCTGTCCCCCTCTCACTCAGCAGGCGTAGGAGATGCTGATTATTTTCCGTAGCTCTGTCACTCCTTGTGAGATCCTTTCCACGACTTTGCTACTTGTGTCATCGCCAAGTTTGTGGCTTGTCTTCTCTGCTGGTCTCCTCTCTCCCCTCTGCTCCATCTCACAGCCTGTGTGATCCTCTTCACCATCCTTTTATAAACATTAAAACTGGTGACGCTGGCTCCAACCAGCGACCCCTGTGCCTTGTGGAGCTGCAGCGTCACCGCTCTCTGTCCTTGCAGATCTATGTGAAGCAGCAGGACCGTGGTGGTGGCCTTGACCGGGATCTGCAAGTGGCCAAGATGAGCTTGGTTGACCTGGCAGGCTCGGAGCGAGCCTCAGTCACCAACGCCAAGGGCGAGCGGCTCCGGGAGGGCGCCAACATCAACCGCTCGCTGCTGGCCCTCATCAACGTCATCAACGCGCTGGCTGATGCCAAGGTAACACTGTCGGCACAACCCTGCTGGGCTCTGGCCCTCCGGGGAGGGGGTATGTGAGGGTTGACCTCAAGTGATGGTCTGGCCAGTGCGGTGAGGACAGCAGCCTCCGAGAGGTGCTGTGGGATGAGCGTGGCTGTGCCGTTGGGACACGGGATTTGGAGCTGAGCACCCAAAGGCCAAAAACTGAGCAGACCCTTGATTTCTTGGTGCAGAGCAAGAAAACCCACATCCCGTACCGGGACAGCAAGCTGACGCGCTTGCTGAAGGACTCCATTGGCGGCAACTGCCGCACCATTATGATCGCTGCGGTGAGTCCCTGCGCTCTGGCCTACGAGGACACCTACAACACCCTCAAGTACGCCAGCCGTGCCAAGGAGATCAAGCTGCTGGTGAGGACCTGGCGTTGCGGTGATCTGCCCTGTGTCTGGGAGCCACTGGGGACGGGTGGGAAGCAGCCTGGTGCGTGGTGGGGGTACGTTAGTGGGTGCTTCCCTTCCCCAGCTTGAGTTTTCCAGCTCTGAGGGTGCCGTTCCAGGCAGAAAGCGGTTGTTGAAGCTGCAGGTGCTGCGTGCCTGGTTTTCTTGAAAAATTTCTCAACCCATAGCCCAAAAAGGCTTGGGACTGTGGGTCCCTGAGCACAGATCACGTCCCCTGGAGCCTGGAGGACATCTCCAGTGTCAGGAGAGGGGCCCATCCCACCCCAGTGCTTCTTTAACCTCTCCCTTGTCCCTCTCTCCGCAGCTGAAGAGCAACGTGCTCAGCTTTGACTGCCACAACAGCAAGTGCGTTGCAATGTGCAAGCAGCTGAAAGCAGAGGTGAGACGCTGGCAGGGAGGACAGGACTCTGTCTTTTGCCGTGGTTTGCTTGGGACATAGACCTCTGAGCTCCTGGGGGTGGTGAAACCATCTAAGCCACAGCTGGTCCCTCCCTGCAGGTGGCAGATCTGCAGGCGAAGCTCCGTGCCTACGAGGACGCTGCGCGGCCAGCACAGAGCCAGGCACCAGCAGCTGCTGTCACCTCCACCCCGGTGGAGCTGCCCAGGTGAGTCTATTGGGGACAGAGCTCATTGTGACCTCCCCATGTCAAGGAGCCTGCAGGGTTTTAGTGCCACTTGGAGTTTAGGTGTCCATCAGGAAGTGGATGAGCTTCTATACTGGTGTGTTCCATCATCTTGACCCCAGAGTGGGTTTAGTTACAACCTGAGGGACCACAGCGTGCAAGCGCCCAGGGAAGCTGGGTCCCAAAGGCCAAATCTTCTGTTTGATCCATCCCAAAACTTCTTACGCAAAATGAGGATCTTCTCTGGCTCAGTGGCTTCTTCTCTGGCTTCTGTAGGTTGGAGGAAGCAGTCCTGAAGCCATGCCTGGCCCTGGAGGAGCAGATGGAGTGTGATGGAGACCAGGAGAAGCTGGAAGCTGAGTGGCCTGTTCAGCTGCAACTGGAGTCAGTGGAGGAGGTAAGAGAAGGGATGGACAGTGCTGGAGGACTTGGCATGAGGAGGATGGGCCTCAGACACCCCACTGGGGTACACTGGGCATGCTGGGAGGGGACAGGAGCTCAGCCTGGGGTCCTGGCTCAACATGTGCTAGAGAAATACCTTCACTTATCAGCTGATGGGGCGTTTGGGGACCAAACTCAGCTCAAACAAGGGCTAATCCTGGGCTTTTGGGTGATTGCTCCAGGGTCCAGAGGAAGTCCATCCCAGCAGCCCCAAAGCAACGCACCAGACCGAAGTGCAGCTGGAAGCGAAGACACCAAGCTTCCTTCTACAAGGGTTGTCCGGCAGCCAGACAGAGACGTGAGTGCTCTCCTGCCATCCCCGTGTGCCACTTCCTCTTGTTTGCCTGTGGAGGATGGGTTGTCCGCCCTCCTGTGTTGTGTGTACCCATCCAAGGGATGGTCTAGATGGAGGTAGGACCAGGTCTTGATCTGCAGATGACTGCCTGCCCTGTAAAATAAGGGATTTGGCTCTTGGGGATGTAATCCCATGGGATAATCTCTCCTGGAAATGTCAGCGCTGAAGGTTTCCAGGCACAGCAACTGTGTGAGCCTTAAGTGCACGTTGTTAGTCCCGAAATTACCTCCACAAAGTCTTTCCTCCTGCCTCAGCTCCCCCAGGTCCTGCCCTGGCAGGGCTCCCATGGCACCATCTGCTGATGTCTCTGCCCCGAGCAATCTTGGCACAATGAACCTCTTTAGAAAGGTCTCTGGAGGGAGACCGGCCTTGATGTGCGCCTGGATCTTGCTCTGCCTCCGGCCGAGCTGACGAGCGTCTGAGACCTGCCAAAAGGTCTGTGGAAGCCGTTTGGTCCCTTGTAACCCACAGGCAAACACAAAACTCACAGCTCAGGCTCTCCAGTGAGAGATTTACAGCTTGAGTATCTCCCAGCTTCGAAGTTTGCCTTTCTTCCCTCCAAAACTCTGTGAATAGGTTCTGCCCCACCCAAGGAGGTGTCCCAGATGGTGCTGAGCCTCTGGTACTGGTGACGCTGGCTCAAGCTCACCTTCTAACTGGTTCGTGGCTCTGTCTCTCCATTCCAGCCTTGTAGCTGCTATCCTGAGCGTTGCCCGGAAGCAATATTCCCTCCTGAAGGCTGCCAACCTCCTGACTCCTGCCATGGCCTCAGAATTTGAGGAACTGGAGCGCCTGGTCCATCAGAAGACTGGTGGAAGCCTGGGACGAGCCCCATCTCCCACCAGACCCTCAGAGGTCGACGGGGCCAGCCCAGGCCAGAACCCGCAGTGGGGCTGTGACGGTGAGGGTTTGGGGTCGGGACAGGGGGGGCTGTCCCCTCTCCTTTGTCTCGGGATGCACTGGAGGAGCTGGGGGGGTGGGAGATGCAGGGCAGAGAGATGAGTTTCTCCTGACGTGGTGCCCGGCGGGTTGTGCCGAGGCTTCGCAGAGCGGCTGGGCCCAGGCAGCATCGCCGGCAGCCCCGGGCACGGCAGGAGCCGCTGCGCAGCCCTTGTCCCCGGGGAGCTCAGCGTGTTTGTGCAAGTCAGCTTAAACGTGAGCGATATTTCTGCTCCAGGAGACCAAAGCAGCAGTTCTGATCCTATTTTTTTATTTTTTTTTTTACATCTTATTTATTCCTCTGTGGAACATTTGCCCAAGTCAGCCTGGCTGTAGCACCTGACCAGCCCTGAGCTCTTCCTCCTCATCCTCAGGGCCAATACAGCAACCCCAGAGCGAAGCTGTGGGCTCTGCAGAGACTGTTTTCTGGGGACGGACCAGGTCCTGCCACGGGGCACTGGCTTTGGGACCGGTCCGGTGCTTTTCGAGCTGGCAAAACACAGGGTGATTTGTGCTGGCTCTTTTCCTCTGGATTTAACGGGGTTTGGTGGAAACACCCGCTGGCAAATGGCTGCTGTAGGGTTCACTGGCCAGAGGAGCTGTGACGGGGGGCAGAGGGGGCGCCCCTAGGGTTTGGGGGTGCCTGGGGATGGCAGACAGAGGGAGGTGACTCTGTTTCTTCTCCGCTCCTTCAGCTGCAGCGTCTGTCACCACGAGCACTGCCCTGCGATGCTCGCCGCAGCTCACTCCGCTCTCCAGCTCCACGCCGACAGGTCCCAGCCCAGCGAGGAAGAGGAGGAGGTCTGAGGGGAAGAACGCTTCCCAGTCGGCAACTCCCCGCAGCCTCAAAACACAGAGCAAACGGCCGCGGACAGATGGGGGAGAAGCGGAGACTCCCCAGGAGCTGCAGAGCCCAGGCAGCCCCTGTCTCCAAGCAGTGGCCCAGGCAGCCTTTGTCTCCCCACTGCCGTCATCTTGCACCTCCAAAATCTGTCCGCCAACCGTCACCAAAGGCCGTTTGCCCCTGGCCATGTCAGCTGCCCAGAACTGCTGCTCCCATCCTGACACAGGAAGGAAAAACCTGAATGTGACTTTTGAGGTCTGCACGATCGGTGACTCCCCTGATCCGGCCAAACCCGTTCCCTTCGGCCTGTCCGAATTTCCCATCTGGGACAACGCCCAGAGCCTCCTCAACAAGCCTGACCGACCCATAGGGCCCAAGTAAGTGCTGCCCTGGATGGGGTACCCACATTTTGGGGGATCCCCCACTTCCATGATGGAGAAATCCTTTGTGGGTCGCTGCAGCCCAGCTGAGAGGGGAGACCGGGCCTGCAACCGGGCAGCCCATGGGCCGCTGGGGTGTGAATCACTTGCAAAGATATAAAAAAAAAAAAACATTCCAAGAAAAATTTGTTTTTCCCTTTGGACAAGGAGGAGCATCCTCCAGATGTCCCCTGGAGCCCAAGTGCTGGTGGGGAGGCCAGTGGGGCATCACCTCCCCGCCAAGAGGGGCTGGGGCGAGGGTGCGGGGAGGGGGTGGGGGGTTGTTGAGGTTTTTTGTTATTGCTGGTGCTTCAAAGAGGCTTTTATGGAGCTGTGTGAACGTGTGTGACCATCCAAAACCAGTTACTGAAACTGGTAACGCAGGGCACCCTTAGGTCTCCCTGTCTCCTCCTGTAGCTCTAGGAAATGGTCCCTATAGGGGGGAACTGGGGAAACTGAGGCACAGGGTGACGGCCTGGCCTTAGGGACCAGCAATACCTGGGCACTGCCACCTCCTGCACGGATCTTCTGAGGGTTTATCCCTGTTGGAGTCGTTTTCCCCAACAAAACCAGGCAGGTTCCTGTAGCTTGGTTCCCTGCAGGTGGATGGCGTTGGCCCAGTTGCCTCCCAGCACCGTCAGAGTGGGATGGTTGGGGTCTGGCCCTGGCACTAACCCTCTTTACCTGCAGAGCCTGTGTCTCTGCGTTTCCCACGAAGACTTCCTCCATCCCAAAGTCTTCATCGGTCTCCAAAGCACCTGCGCAGAAGCGGAAGCGAGCGGTGAGGTGAGATGGCAGCACGGCCGGGCAGCTCCTGCTGCTGCCTCCTCCGGGGCTGGAGCCACCAGCCATTGCCTGTGACATCTGGGGACAATGGGGGGCCTCTGCCCTGAGCCTCAAGAGTTTAAAATGGCCTTTTCTTCTCTCTCAGAACCACCTCCCGCTCCCCGGGACAGGTCCAGAGCCGCATCCCACACGTCCCCAGCAGCAGCAAGAGATGTGTGCCGCCTTCCTGCATCACAGGTGAGCACCTGCAGCCACCCAGTGCCATGCCAGCCCCATTCCAGTTCAAGATGGGGGGAAATACCTGGAATTGAGCATTTGGCGCTGGGGGAAGGTGCTGTTTGGGGTTTGCAGCTTCCTGGCTGCAGCCACTGGCTCGGCAAAGGGTGCTGGGTGCTTGGAAGGGGGGTAGGAAGGAAGAGGGAGGTGGCAGTGCCTGGATCTCTGTCAGGAGAGGACCTGGAGTTGCTGCTTTTACCCAGGAGCTGCCTTAACTGCTTCTCTCCCTTTTTTTTTTTTTTTTTTTTTTTTCTCCAGACTCAAAACATCCTTTGGGCACACTCACCCTGAAAGGCAGCCAGACGACCACCAAATCGCTTGCAGCTCCCACCCGCCAGCCAAGGAAGCTCTTATGCTGATGGCTCCACCATCCTCCATCCCTCCACGTGTTCAGACCCAGTTGTTAAACTTCTCCCTTCCTTCCCTCTTGTTTGTTTTCCCCATCCTTCCTGCAGCCCCACAATGCTTCTGCCCCTAAAGTCATCCCCAGCTGCCTCCTCTCCTGGTGGCGTCCCCCCGTTTCTTGTTGTTGGTGGCGTCCCCCCGTTTCTTGTTGTTGGTGGCGTCCCCCCGTTTCTTGTTGTTGGTGGCGTCCCCCCGTTTCTTGTTGTTGGTGGCGTCCCCCCGTTTCTTGTTGTTGGTGGCGTCCCCCCGTTTCTTGTTGTTGGTGGCGTCCCCCCGTTTCTTGTTGTTGGTGGCGTCCCCCCGTTTCTTGTTGTTGGTGGCGTCCCCCCGTTTCTTGTTGGTCCCCCGTTGCTTGTGTATTTTTGCAGCAGATGGATTATTGCTGTTCCCTCTCAGCCCCTCTCTCATCTGCGCCGGGGTGTCGAGTGCTAACAGATGGGTGATGCTAAGAAATAACACGCGCTTTTAATATATCTTTTCGTTTCAAACCAAAGGGGCGAGGGGAGACGTGCGGCTGGTTCTTCTCGCCTCCCCCTCGCCCGGGGAGCTGGGGAGCGGCTCCCGGCTGAGCAGGCCTGGAAAAGGCTCTTACTCCTTGGGGGTGGGCTCCGGGGGGGGCTTCCCCTCTTTACCTCACACCTCCCGCTGGCGTGGGGGGGCCCATGGGTGCCTTCTGCCCAGGTTGTTGTGTCCCAGGGGGCAGGCGAGGGGTGGTGGGGGCTGTTCCCCAGCTCCTGCTGCTTTGCTTAAAGATGGGGCAGAGCCTTTCTGTGCAGTGGCCCCCTGACAAAAACATGTCCTTGTCCCCCACCTCCAGCTGCCCATCCTGGGGCGGAGAGCTCCAAGCATCCCTACCTGCAACCTGGGCCTGTCCCCTAACACCCCTCTGTCACCCTCTTCCTGCCACCCCAAGGCACATCTGGGCACATCTGGCTGCCTGCACCAGCTCCTGGCTGTCACCCTCGGAGGTGACAAAGTGTGGCAGGAGCAGGATGGGGAGGACAGACCTGGCTCCGGGCACGCTGTTGTCCCACGGGGAGCGGGGTCACCGGCTCATCCTGCCCTACTTTCCTGCCTGGCAGCAGCAGATCTCGCCTTTGTCTTCTCAGAGACTTGGAAGCTTCTAATTAAAACTTCCTGCTCCCTCCCAGTTCGTTTGTCTCATTAAGAGGGGGCCAGGGAGAAGGAGGAGGGGGAGGGAGCCCGGCTCTGTGTCCCCGCAGCCGCTGGGAGTGACAGTTTTCCCGGCTTTGATCCTGGCTGCGTGGGAGCGGGAGGAAAATCGCTCTCTGGGGAGCGGCGGGGGCTGGCGCAGGACCCCAAAGCCCCCGCGCCCCCGCTCTGTCCCCAAACCCCCTGCTCTGCTGTCCTGGGTTGAGAGACACAGGACTAACTTTTCTTCTAATGCTGGGGAAAATTGCACTTCTAGAAGACTCTAGCGTCTGAATTTGTGAAAATATTTACTTTATAGCCAGCCAGGCTCTGTGGGATTCAAGGCCTTAGTGTTTTCACAGAATCACAGAATCTTAGTGGTTGGAAGGGACCTCCGAGATCATGGAGTCCAACCACATTAAAAAAAAAATACAAAAAAACCCAAAAAAACCCCACAAAACAAAACAATCCCCAGCAAACCCAAAAACACCACCCACCAACTAAACCCCACGCCCACAACCCCACACACAACACCCCCTCACAAACCAATAATCTTGGGCACTAGAGCATGCCCTGAAGAGCCATGTCTACACGTGACACCACCACCTCCCTGGGCAGGCTGTTCCAGTGCCTGACCGCTCTTTCAGTAAATTCTTCTAAATATCTAATCTGAATCTCCCCTGCCCCAACTTCAGACCATTTCCTCTGCTCCTGTCATTATTCCTTTAGGAGAAGAGGCCAACCCCCACCTCTCTACAGTCTCCTGTCAGGTAGTTGTAGAGGGCAATGAGGTCTCCCCTCAGCCTCCTTTTCTCCAAACTAAACATGCCCACTTCCCTCAGCCTCTCCTCATAGGACTTGTTCTCCAGACCCCTTCCCAGCTTGGTGGCTCTCCTCTGGACACGCTCCAGCACTTCATTGTCCTTCCTGTAGTGAGGGGCCCAAAACTGAACACAGTACTCGAGGTGAGGCCTCACCAGGGCCCAGTACAGAGGCACTATGACTTCCCTACTCCTGCTGGCCACGCTATTCCTGACACAGGCCAGGATGCCGTTGGCCCTCTTGCCCACCTGGGCACACTGCTGGCTCATGTTCAGCCGGCTGTCCACTAACACTCCCAGGTCCTTTTCTGCCGGGCAGCTTTCCAGTCACTCTTCCCCTAGCCTGTAGCGTTGCCCGGGGTTGTTGTGACCAAAATGCAGGACCAGGCACTTGGCCTTATGAAACCTCATCCCATTGGCCTTGGCCCAATGATCCAACCTGTCTAGATCCCTCTGTAGAGCCTTCTGACCCTCAAGCAGATCAACACTCCCACCTAGTTTGGTGTCATCTGCAAACTTACTGAGGGTGCATTCAATCCCCTTGTCTAGATCATCAATAAAGATATTGAACAAGACTGGCCCCAAAACTGAGCCCTGAGGGACACCACTGGTGACTGGCCGCCAACCAGATTTTACTCCGTTAATCACAACTCGCTGGGCACAGCCATCCAGCCAGTTTTTTATCCAGCGGAGGGTACACTTGACTATGCCATGATTCTCCAGTTTCTACAGGAGAACACCATGAGGGACGGTGTCAAAGGCCTTACAAAAGTCCAGGCAGACAACATCCACAGCCTTCCCCTCATCGAGAAAGCGGGTCACACGGTCATAGAAAGAGATCAAGTTGCTCAGGCAGAACCTCCCTTTCATAAACCCATGCTGGCTGGCCCTGATCCCTTGGCTGCAGTTTGGTGTCATCTGCAAACTTACTGAGGGTGCATTCAATCCCCTTGTCTAGATCATCAATAAAGATATTGAACAAGACTGGCCCCAAAACTGAGCCCTGAGGGACACCACTGGTGACTGGCCGCCAACCAGATTTTACTCCGTTAATCACAACTCGCTGGGCACAGCCATCCAGCCAGTTTTTTATCCAGCGGAGGGTACACTTGACTATGCCATGATTCTCCAGTTTCTACAGGAGAACACCATGAGGGACGGTGTCAAAGGCCTTACAAAAGTCCAGGCAGACAACATCCACAGCCTTCCCCTCATCGAGAAAGCGGGTCACACGGTCATAGAAAGAGATCAAGTTGCTCAGGCAGAACCTCCCTTTCATAAACCCATGCTGGCTGGCCCTGATCCCTTGGCTGCCCTGCACTTGCCTTAAGAACTCACTCAGGATGATCCTCTCCATGATCTTTCCCGGTACCGAGGTCAGGCTGACTGGCCTGTAGTTTCTGGGATCATCCCTCCGGTCCTTCTTGTAGATGGGCATCACATTGGCCACCCTCCGGTCATCCGGCACCTCTCCTGTTGACCAGGATTGTTGATAGATAATGGAGAGAGGCCTGGTGAGCTCTCCTGCCAGCCTTGCCAGGTGCAGGGACAAGGAGGAGCAAGGCCTGGGCATTTGACCCAGGCTGGCCAACAGGATTATTTCATACCATGAACATCACATTCAATATAAATTAGAAACATTTGCTGCGTAGCTCTCTCTCCCTGGATGGCGGCAGGTCCAGAGAACTCCTTGCCCCGGTGCCGGAGCCCTGAGGCCTTCCCTTCCTCCTGAAGCCATTTTGCTGGCAGTGTCCGCCATTTGCTGTCCCTGCTGGGAGCACATGGCTTCTGCTGAGAGAATGGGCGGAGTCTAATTCCTGTATCTTATATCAGTATCAGGATTAATACTGGTTCTTTAGCATTGTTGTTAACTATTTAGTTTTAGTCTATTAAATCTATTTATATTTCAACCCTTGTGTTTTCCTTGTATTCCCTGATTCCCCTTTCCAGGTGGGGAGGGGTCACTGGGTGATAGAATAATTGTCTAAACGACAATAGATTGTTATGAGTTTTCTCAAACCACAACAAATTTGGTGCCCAACGTGGTATTAAAACGAATTTGGTGCCTAACGTGGTATTATAACAAATTTAGCACCCAATGTGGTATTTTAACAAGTTTGGTGCCCATCATGATATCTTAACAAATTTGGCTTGTAATGTGGTTTTTTACTGAATTTGGTGTATAACATAGTATTTTAACAAAGTTTGGCATGCAGCGGGGTATTTTAACAACCTTGATACTTAACTTGATATTTTGCGTGTAATTTAAATAGTGCTGGAGGAATTAGAGGCCTTAATTTGAGAGTTCTGAAGGTTTTGAAGTTGTAAACAGATTTGATTGGATTGTAAAACAATTATTATGGATCTGTTGGAGTTGTTTCCAAGTACTGTAAACGGAGTTTTCTGGTATCTCTGTGTAGCTGTTTGTGGGTGGCTATGGGAGTGGTGTAAGAGTTTGTTGCCATTTCTCATTGGGTTTAGGGAAGCTTATAGTTTCTAAATGTGGAGTTAAAAATATTGCCTTGTTATTTTGTGTGGTGGTATTTTGCTATGTTATTGGGTCTTTTGTAATTGTTCCGTTTTTTGTCACTTATGTACTTGCATCTTGTGAATCATAGTTAGAATCTCCTCAGAATGCGGGAAAATCCTTTTTGGGCACTGTGCATAATTATACTTTGGGTTATTTTACGGGCCATTTAGTGAGGGGGGGTATATCTTTTGAGGATTTCTATGTTCCGGTAGCTTCAATAGTAACAGTTTTTGAGAGTTTGAAATACCCTTGGAATGTTTTGCTCATTGTAGTTATAGTGTTAATTTTTGCGGGCTTGTTCTTTTTTATGGGCTGGATTTGCGGTAGAAGGCAGCGTCCGACAGGGGCCCCACCGGCCCCCCCGTCCTCTGGAGAACCTGCCGGCCTCCCCCACAGTCCGTGCTCCTGCTGACCCCCGTAACTGACATGGCGCCCGTGCAGACCTCGCCAGGCCTTCCGACAGACCCTGGTCTTATCCAGACCGTGCTGGCTCTCATGACAAGACCTGCAGCTGCACCAAGGACTGAATCTACTTCAACGTTGGTGATGGATGATGTAGCTGATCTACGGACTCAATCAGTGCCAGTGTCAGTCAACCCTGTACAGAAGAGGAAAGGTGCAGTAGCATCAGATGACAATGGTCAACCAGGGACATCAGGCAATACAGTAACAGAGGAAACTACTCCATCATTAACCCTAACTGAGCTGCGGGACATACGTAAGGATTACAGCCGTCAGGAAGGCGAGCAAGTGATTTCTTGGCTGCTCCGATGCTGGAACACTGGGGCTGATAGTTTGGACTTAGATGGTAGAGAAGCCAAGAGGATAGCACCATTAGCTAGAGAATCGGTATTGACAGAGCCCTTGGAAGACCACCACAATCCCTCACGCTCTGGAGGCGACTCCTGTTAAGTGTGAGGAGCAGGTATCCCTAAAGGGACGATACTATGTACCAGCCGTCAAAGTGGACAACTATTGAGAGAGGTGTTAAGAATCTGAGGGAAATAGCTGTATGGGAGATTATTTTCAGTGACTTGGATGACCCACAGACATCATTAGATCCAGATGCACTCAAAGTAACTGGACCTATTTGGCGCAAATGGGTACTGAGCAGACCAGCAGCATATGTTAATGTATTGGCATTATTTAGCTGGACAGATGATGAGGCACCAACAGTGGGTGATATGGATGCCTGAATGCAACATTATGCAAATAATCTTCTTTCTGCCCCACAGGCCAGAGTTTCAGTGCTGAAGAAAACATTTGGCAAGGCCAATATCTCAGGTGGGGACAAACATTTCCCTGCTAAACGTGGTCGAGAGAAGCAAAGCACACCACGACACATCCTGTGGTCTACCCTGCGTAATCAGGGAGAAAACATGAGGAACTGGGATGGAAAACCTACTTCGGCTTTACAGACGTGTTCGTGAGTTGCGGAGTAAGACGCCCACTGGAAGGGGTTCTTCCAGGAGCAGTGCTGCTCCAGTGTCCAGAGAAAAGTCCCCTAGAAGGCAGAGATGGGCCTCAGAGCCTGATTTAGGACACACAACTGTCACAGATAGAAGTGGTGGGCCCTTTCATCAAAACCAGGGTTGCCCTGCCTCCAGCCAGGGGGAGGAGAGGGACAATCGAGTTTATTGGACTGTGTGGATTCGATGGCCTGGCACATCAGAACCACAAAAGTATAGAGCCCTGGTGGACCCTGGTGCACCCTAATGCCATCCAATCACACAGGGGAAGAATCTGTCACTATTGCTGGAGTGACAGGAGGATCTCAAGACCTGACTGTACTAGAGGCCGAAGTGAGCCTAACTGGGAATAAATGGGAAAAGTTCCCTATCGTAACTGGCCCAGATGCACCATGCATTCTTGGCATAGATTACCTCAGGAAAGGGTATTTTAAGGACCCGAGGGGCTACTGGTGGGCGTTTGGTGTAGCGGTGGTGGAGATGGAGAAAGTTGTGCAACTGTCAACACTGCCTGGCCTGTCAGAGGACCCTTCTATTGTAGGGCTGCTGAGGGTCGAGGAACAAAATGTGCCCGTTGCTACTACAACTGTGCATAGGCAACAATATCGCACTGACCGAGATTCTCTGCTCCCTCTTCAGAAATTGATTCGTCAGCTGGAAAGCCAAGGGGTGATCAGTAAGACTCGCTCACCCTTTAATAGTCCCATATGGCCAGTGCGAAAGCCTAATGGGGAATGGAGATTGACAGTAGACTATCGTGGCCTGAATGAAGTCACACCACCATTGAGTGCTGCTGTCCCAGATACGTTAGAACTTCACTATGAATTGGAGTCAAAAGAAGCTAAATGGTATGCTACAATTGACTTTGCTAATGCTTTTTTCTCTATTCCTTTAGCAGCAGAGTGCAGGCCACAGTTTGCTTTCACCTGGAGGGGCGTCCAGTACACCTGGAATGGATTGCCCCAGGGGTGGAAACATAGTCCTACTATTTGCCACAGACTGATCCAGACTGCACTGCACTGACCCAGGCTGGCCAACAGGATTATTTCATACCATGAACGTCACATTCAATATAAATTAGAAAAATTTGCTGTGTAGCTCTCTCTCCCTTGATGGTGGCAGGTCCAGAGAACTCCTTGCCCCGGTGCCGGAGCCCTGAGGCCTTCCCTTCCTCCTGCAGCCATTTTGCTGGCAGTGTCCGCCATTTGCTGTCCCTGCTGGGAGCACATGGCTTCTGCTGAGAGAATGGGCGGAGTCTAATTCCTGTATCTTATATCAGTATCAGGATTAATACTGGTTCTTTAGTATTGTTGTTAACTATTTGGTTTTAATCTATTAAATCTATTTATATTTCAACCCTTGTGTTTTCCTTGTGTTCCCCGATTTCCCTTTCCGGGCGGGGGAGGGGCACCAGGTGATAGAATAATTATCTAAATGACAATAGATTGTTATGGGTTTTCTCAAACCATAACACCTGCCAGGGCTGCGCACCCCAGGGGACGTCAGAAAGTCTGTGGGGACGGAGGTCCCCTGTCACCGTGGGCTGTCGCACAGCACGTGTCCCCGGGGATGTCACTCTTCTGGTGGGCTGGGGACGCCCAGTGTCTCGTGTGGGGTAGGGACGTGCCCCAAACCCAGCATTTCTGTGGGCAAAACCCTTGCCCCTCGCTGGTGACACTGGCCCAGGACAGTCAGGGGACATGGGGCTGCCCAGCGTGGGGACAGGGCTGACTGGGGACAAGGAGCTTCTGAGGATTAAAGGGGATGTGGCAGCAAGTTGTCCCTACACGCTGCCCAAATGCCACCAGTCCCACCAGTATCACCTCCCAGTGGCTCTGGGTCCCCACAGTTTGCATCTGAGGGGGCACCGTTGTTGCCACAACCCTCCCTGACTGGCCATTGTTGGGTGGCCCAGCGATGGTGGCCATGTCCAGCGGGGCCTGGCCAGTGTCCCCGGCAGGGAGCCTTTCCCGGCCATCGGCTGCCATCTAGCTGCAGGCCGGTGAGGCCTGTCCCTGTCCCCGTCCCTGTCCCAGCCAGCACCCCAGGGACACCCCTGTCCCCCAGCTTTGTCCCCACCACCCCTTGGAGCACCCACTGTGTGCTGCTCCCTGGGTGCCACCACGTGTCCCTTATGTCCCCAAAACACCCCCATTGCCCGCCTGGGCTGGCACCGAGCGTGGTTTGTGGCCAAGACACCGTGGCTGGGAGGGGACAGTGGTGGCCTGGTGCCCGTCACTGCTGCCGCCCTGGATCCATCCCCCCGTGTTTCCCGGCAGCGCAGTGGCCCTGGCACAAAGGCCCCCCGTGGCTCTGCCGGGCAGCGATGGCTCCAGCGCCGCACAAAGCCCCTTTCACCAGCCCTGGCACCCAGCCCCCACCCGGGGAGGGGTCCCAGCCCTCATCCCCCCCCTCCCCCGCCATGGGCCAACGGGGGGCAAAGACCCCCCACACTCATTGCATGTGTCACGGGTGACACGGCCACGCACAGGCAGGATCGGGCCCCCCCAGCGCTGGGAAGGGGACCCGCTGTCCTGACCGGGCTCCCACCGCCAGCGCTGTCATGGACCCGCTGGGGTGGAAAGGACTTCGGAGGCTTCAGCCACTTAATTAGCAGCCTGCCTTAATTAGCAGCCTGCCAGGCTGCCTGCGATGTGCCTCGGCCCCGCTGGAGTGACCGGGCTTTGGTGGCTGGTGCTGAGCTGCGGGGGGTAGTCCTGGGGGATGTGACACGGGTGGATGTGCACACATGTATGTGCACACGTGTGTGTGGCTGGATGGCCACATGTGTGCATGTGGTGGTGCACGCGGTGGATGCGCGGCAGGGCGGGTGCGTGTGTGCAGGTGTCTGGGTGTGTGTGTGCACACATGTTCAGGGAGGGAAAGCAGCACGTGTGGACATATCTGTGCACACTACTCGTGTGCACACATGAGGAGCAGCCCCTGGGGATGGTCCCTCCTGTCCACCCCCATGGTGTCAGGATGTGGACACGGCCACCTTGGCTCGACTGGACCTGGAGCGGCGGGGGGGGGGTGGCTGGATGGCCACATGTGTGCATGTGGTGGTGCACGCGGTGGATGCGCGGCAGGGCGGGTGCGTGTGTGCAGGTGTCTGGGTGTGTGTGTGCACACATGTTCAGGGAGGGAAAGCAGCACGTGTGGACATATCTGTGCACACTACTCGTGTGCACACATGTAGGTAAGCATGTGTGCATTGAACATGACGTGTGTGTGCACAAGGGCATGGAGGGATGACTCCATGTCACACACACAAGTGTGTGTCACATGTCACACACACAAGTGCGTGTGTGTTTGGACACGAATACGCACACACATGTCTCTAGGTGCACGTGTGCATGCGTGTGCATGTGGGTGTGCACTTGTGTTTGTGTGGAAGCCTCCTTATGGCTGTGTGCACAGGCTGGAGGGGGGTGTGTGCACACACAGATGCACCCCATTGCACGTGTGTGTGTGTGCATGGCAGGGTGTGTGCACAAGTGTGCAGGGGTGTGTGTGCACGTGTGTGTGCACACCATCGCACCGTGTATGTGCACGCCATCGCACCCAGCACCCCCAGAGTGCTGTGGCCCCGCACCCAGCCCCTCAGTGCTCACCCTGGGCTACCCTGTGGGTGCTGGTGGCCACCACTCTGCCTCCCACCCTGGCGTGTCCCCTGGCCCTCCCTGGCCACGGCAGAGCCTGGAGGGGCCAGCGGTGGGCAGGGGGCCATGCCAGGGGCCAGGCTGGGTGCCAGGGCACATCCGTGCCCGCCGGGCGCCACAAAGGCTGGCTTTTGTGCTGGCCCTCTGGCTCCCTGGCCGGTGGCCAGTGCTGGGGGCCCCCTGGCTCCATAAAAGCCCCTGGTCCAGGCACATCGCGCCCACCCCTTCGGCATGGAGAGCCAGCGGCTGTCCTCCTACGGCCGCCGCTTCGGCCCCACCGCCCCCGGGTACCGGGTGCTCCCCACCAGCCCCCCGGCCCGGCTCCGGGCCCCCCGTGCCCGCAGCACCCAGCCAGGACCCCGTGTGGGTGCCCGCCTGGGGTCAGGCAAGATGGACTTCTCGCTGGCGGCGGCGCTCAACTCGGAGTTCAGGGAGACGCGCACCAACGAGAAGGTGGAGATGATGGAGCTCAACGACCGCTTCGCCAGCTACATCGAGAAGGTCCGGCTCCTGGAGCAGCAGAACAAGGTGCTGGTGGTGGAGCTGAACCGGGCACGGGACCAGGAGCCCTCCCGTCTGGCCGACGTCTACCAGGAGGAGCTGCGTGACCTGCGGCACCAAGTGGAGCAGTTGGCCACCGCCAAGGCCCGTCTGGAGATCGAGAGAGACAACCTTGCTGAGGACCTCGGCAGCCTCCAGCAAAAGTAAGATGCTACCGTGCTTAGGGTAGTCCTGGGGATGAAGGTGACAACCAGAACTAGGAAGGTGGTGGAGATGGGGGTTGGGACCAACGTGACCACCAGAACCAGGATGATGGTGGAGATCAGGGTGGTGATGGAGACCAAGGTGGCCACCAGGAGCAGGGTGGGCCCAGAGATCAAAGTGGCCACCAGGACAGGATTGAGAGTGACCACTGGGGTGGATGTCAGGGTGCCTACTAGGACGAGGGTGACCACTAGAATGGGGACCAGGGTGGCCACCAGGACCAGAGTGGCAGCACGATGGTGATCAGGGTTTTCCTGGGGCCCTGTGGGGTGACGGGGACTGTGGTGGTGACTCCTGGGACCAGGATGAGGACTGGTGTGTCCCCAGGGATCAGGATGGCCACTGAGACAGTGACCTAGCGTGGCCTCTAGGATCGGATAGCCCTAGGGACCAGGCACTGGTGGGGACCAGGGTGGTGACAGGGACAAGGTGACAGGGAGCAGGGTGACCCCAGTGTGGGTGGTGGTGGGGGTGTGGGATGGGCACGTGCACTGACACGGGGTGCTGGTGGTAACGGGTTCCGTCAGCCGGGGGGAGCCTGGCTGAGGGGCTGAGGGCAACGAGTGATGGTGCTAACGAGTAATGGTGCTAATGAGTAATGGTGCTAATGAGTAACGATGTCTCTGCTCCGGCCAAGGCTGCAGGAGGAGGTGACCCTGCGGCTGGAGGCCGAGAGCAACCTGGCTGCCTACAGGCAGGTGAGGGCAGGGGACAGGTCCTGCACCCCCACCCGGCACCCCGGGGGCTCAGCCCCCCGAGCAGCCTCCTGCAGGGATGGGGCTGGGATGGGAAGGGATGGGACAGGGGTGGAGTGGGGATGGGTATGGGGTAGGGATGGGACAGGGGTGGAGTGGGGATGGGGCAGGGATGGGGCGGGGATGAGGCTAGGATGGGGCAGGGATGGAGTGGGAACGGGGCTGGAATGGAGTGGGAATGGGGCTGGGATGGGGCAGGGATGGAGCAGGGATGGGGCTGGGATGGAGTGGGAATGGGGCTGGGATGGGGCAGGGATGGAGTGGGGCTGGGGCTGTGATGGGCAGGGCCAGGCAGGAGCAGGCAGCTCAGGAAGGAGCAGCCCCTGGGGATGGTCCCTCCTGTTCCCCCCCGTGGTGTCAGGATGTGGACACGGCCACCTTGGCTCGACTGGACCTGGAGCGGCGGGTGGGGACCCTGCAGGATGAGATCGCCTTCCTCCGCAAGGTCCATGAGGAGGTAACCTCGCTCGGGGGGGGGCCTCAGGTGGGTCCCAGGGCTTGTGGGGGGGTGGGCTGACCCCCACTGTCCCCCCAGGAGCTGCGGGAGCTGCAGGAGCAGCTGGCCCGGCAGCAGGTGCACGTGGAGGTGGACGCGAGCAAGCCCGACCTGACGGCCGCCCTGCGCGACATCCGCAGCCAGTACGAGGCCATGGCCGCCAGCAACGTCCAGGAGACCGAGGAGTGGTACAAGTCCAAGGTGCGGTGGGAGATGGTCACCCATGGATGGGTGGCCTCCTGGGGTGTCACCTTCTCAGGGGTGGGTGTGACCACCGCAGGGTTGGTGGCTCTCCTTGGTGGTGGTTGTCCCCTCCTGGGATGTCACAGTCTCAGAGTTGGGGTTGGCCACCCCGGGGTTGTGTGGGTCTTCCTGGTGGTGGTGCGTGAGGTTTGGTGTCCCCACTGTCCCTGCTCCTATCCCATGTCCTGGTTTGGTCCCCATGGGAGCAGGAATGTGTCCCCCATGGTGAGTCCCATTGGCGTGGTCCCGAAGGAGTTGTGTTCACAGTGACATGGCCCACGTGCACTGTCCCACAGGAGCAGGGACATGTCCCCTGTGACATCCCACAGCACCATCTCTCCCACCCACAGAGCAAGGACATGTCCCCAGCAGCACCTGCCATCAGGGAAGTGTCCCATGTCCACTGTCCCACCACCCCAAGAGAGCAGGGACATGTCTCCACAACACGTGCCATCAGCCACATGCTCCACGTGCACTGTCCCTTCCACCCAGAGAGCCAGGACATGTCCCTGCAGCACGTGCCACTGGGGACACATCCTGTGTGTGCTGTCCCTTCCACGGGAGCTGGATGTGTCCCCATGACACGTCCTGCTGGGGCCACGTCCCTCCCATGGGAGCGTGCATGGCAGGGTGTGTGCACAAGTGTGCAGGGGTGTGTGTGCACGTGTGTGTGCACACCATCGCACCGTGTATGTGCACGCCATCGCACCCAGCACCCCCAGAGTGCTGTGGCCCCGCACCCAGCCCCTCAGTGCTCACCCTGGGCTACCCTGTGGGTGCTGGTGGCCACCACTCTGCCTCCCACCCTGGCGTGTCCCCTGGCCCTCCCTGGCCACGGCAGAGCCTGGAGGGGCCAGCGGTGGGCAGGGGGCCATGCCAGGGGCCAGGCTGGGTGCCAGGGCACATCCGTGCCTGCCGGGCGCCACAAAGGCTGGCTTTTGTGCTGGCCCTCTGGCTCCCTGGCCGGTGGCCAGTGCTGGGGGCCCCCTGGCTCCATAAAAGCCCCTGGTCCAGGCACATCGCGCCCACCCCTTCGGCATGGAGAGCCAGCGGCTGTCCTCCTACGGCCGCCGCTTCGGCCCCACCGCCCCCGGGTACCGGGTGCTCCCCACCAGCCCCCCGGCCCGGCTCCGGGCCCCCCGTGCCCGCAGCACCCAGCCGGGACCCCGTGTGGGTGCCCGCCTGGGGTCAGGCAAGATGGACTTCTCGCTGGCGGCGGCGCTCAACTCGGAGTTCAGGGAGACGCGCACCAACGAGAAGGTGGAGATGATGGAGCTCAATGACCGCTTCGCCAGCTACATCGAGAAGGTCCGGCTCCTGGAGCAGCAGAACAAGGTGCTGGTGGTGGAACTGAACCGGGCACGGGACCAGGAGCCCTCTCGTCTGGCCGACGTCTACCAGGAGGAGCTGCGTGACCTGCGGCACCAAGTGGAGCAGTTGGCCACTGCCAAGGCCCGTCTGGAGATTGAGAGAGACAACCTTGCTGAGGACCTCGGCAGCCTCCAGCAAAAGTAAGATGCTACCGTGCTTAGGGTAGTCCTGGGGATGAAGGTGACAACCAGAACTAGGAAGGTGGTGGAGATGGGGGTTGGGACCAACGTGACCACCAGAACCAGGATGATGGTGGAGATCAGGGTGGTGATGGAGACCAAGGTGGCCACCAGGAGCAGGGTGGGCCCAGAGATCAAAGTGGCCACCAGGACAGGATTGAGAGTGACCACTGGGGTGGATGTCAGGGTGCCTACTAGGACGAGGGTGACCACTAGAATGGGGACCAGGGTGGCCACCAGGACCAGAGTGGCAGCACGATGGTGATCAGGGTTTTCCTGGGGCCCTGTGGGGTGACGGGGACTGTGGTGGTGACTCCTGGGACCAGGATGAGGACTGGTGGGTCCCCAGGGATCAGGGTGGCCACTGAGACAGTGACCTAGCGTGGCCTCTAGGATCGGATAGCCCTAGGGACCAGGCACTGGTGGGGACCAGGGTGGTGACAGGGACAAGGTGACAGGGAGCAGGGTGACCCCAGTGTGGGTGGTGGTGGGGGTGTGGGATGGGCACGTGCACTGACACGGGGTGCTGGTGGTAACGGGTTCCGTCAGCCGGGGGGAGCCTGGCTGAGGGGCTGAGGGCAACGAGTGATGGTGCTAACGAGTAATGGTGCTAATGAGTAATGGTGCTAATGAGTAACGATGTCTCTGCTCCGGC